GAACTATAAAAACCAACTGGCCTTGAACTCAGAGATCTGTCTGCCTCTGCCTCCAGAGTGCTGGGATTGAAGATGTGACCCACCATGCCCGGCTTTTTTTTTTTTCCTTACATTTTTGTTTTCTCTTTGTTTTTGGCACACCGCTCACTGACCACTTACCCGGGCCCAAGTGAGATTGGAATCAGGAATGAGTGTGGGCTTAGCCACACACACATGGGCCAAGAAAGCAAGCTGGAACTTCAGCCAGGGGTGGGCACAGGGGTGGTAGAGGAAGGCGACACCATCAACCTAAAGGAAGAGTGGAAACATCAAGCCAGGCCCAGCTCTCTCCCGGATGCCAGGATGAAGGGGTTATCAGAAGGTGCCCTTCCACTTCCAGGGAGGGAGAAGGACCTTGGGTACTGATGTACCCCCTCTCCTCTGGATGCACCTCTTCTTTCCGTCAGGTGCAGCCCCTCAAAGTTAAGCCTCTGGGCAAGACAGCACGGCTAATTGGCTCTCTTAGACTCAGAACAAGCTCCCTTACCCCTACCCATGGTGCTGGGGATCAATGCCAGGGCCTTCTTACCACTGATCTACATCCCTGGCCCTCAACAGTCTTGACTGTATTTCTCCGAATGCAATAACGGCTCTGCAAATCTAAAATCTAGACTCTAAGTATATCCTCAGATGAAGATCAGGTTCTCTACCTGCTGATTTAATACATGCAGTCTCCCAGGAGTATCCAAACACACACGACTGCAGTCTCAGGATGCTAGATGCTATAAAAGATACCAAAAAATAACTTCTGGACCCTCAGGAATGTATAAGAAATGCAGTTGGGTCAGGTAGTGGTGGTGCACGCCTTTAATTCCCATACTCAAGAAACAGATGCAGGTGTATATCTTTGAGTTCGAGCCCAGCCTGGTCTAAAGAGTGAGTTCCAGGACAGCAGGGCTGTCAAGGTGAAACCCTGACTCAAAACCAAACAAACAAACAAACGAAGGAAGGAAGGAAGAAAGAAAGCAAAGAAAAAGACAAGGAAGGAAAGAGAGAAAGAAAAAGCCATGGAAAGTTGAGTGTAACAGAGCTCACCTGTAACCTAGTCACGTGAAGCATTGGTAAGAAGACCAAACTTTCAGGCCAGCCTAGGTACACAGTGACTACCAGGCCAGCCTTGGCTATGAAGCCCTATCCCAAAAGACCAGAGAGTAGAGGAAGAGATTCAGGGAAGAAAAAAAAAAAAAAACATACAACTCATGGGTATGTGTGGGAGGCAGGTAGTTGGGAGGGAGAGGGCTTGGGCTCTAGGGGCTGGATCCCTACAAATGCTCTCCCAGCAAGCCATATCCTCAACTGCCTTTCCACTCTTTCCTTAAACTTTGAAACAAAGTCTCACCAAGTTGCCCAAATTGGACTTGAGTTCACTTTCAGTCCTCCAATCAGCTGGGATTGTAAAAGCCTGTGCCGCTAAGTCCAGTTTGCTTAGTTAACTGTGATCACAGAGTCAGGATAACATTGGGCAGGTTTTGGGGTTCAGGTGGCGCTGTGACTACTGCAGGGAGTTTGGGAATGGTTGGAGGTGAGGAGCTGCAGGGTGTGGAGCCGAGCATTCTGACTCCTGATGGCCAGTAGAAAATAAACCAGAGAAGTAGGAATTGAGCCAGAATTCCTATGTATGAGGGCCCATTGTGACCAAGATAAACTAATTGAAAAATCAGGTGAAGATAATTTAACAAATCTTCACAAGGCAGGCAGGGGAACTCAGCCATGACAGGTGGGCTATAATCAGACGGGTTCTGAACACTGAAGTAACTTAAAAGAAGGACCATGTGCAATAATGAGGTAGCCAAATCTGAGTGTGTCTGCTATAATCCCGGCCCTTCAGGAGGTGGAGGCAGAAGGATCAGGAGTTCAAGATCATCCTTGGCCACATAGCAAGTCTGAGGGCCAGTTTGGGCTACATGTGACCCTGTCTATAAAGGGGGGGGGTAGTAGTGATATGGCTGGCGTTTAAGACCATTTGCTGCTCTTGCAGAGGATTTGGATTCAGGCTCCAGCATCCACATGGCAGCTCACAACCAACTCTAGCTCCAGTTCCAGGGGACCTGACAACTCTCCTGAACACATATACACACAGGCAAAATTCATACTCACAAGATAAACCTAAACGAATTTTTAAGAAGAAAAATATTCTTGAAAGTTGAACCCAGTTTACAACACAGTAAAGCGTACACTCCTAACCCGATACAATATTTTGTGATCCAAAGCGCTCTCACACTATTCGTTCACTTCGTAAAGCTGAAGGGACAAATGCCAACTCTAGCAGAAAACTAGAGCACAAGAGAGCTCTCGGTCACACCTGGCACCAGGATGCGGGCTGGTTTTGCCACCTTCAGAGCTCCACACGTCTAGCCACTCAACAGCATCCCTGACTCTGCACTACAGAGCTGTGGCCCACTGTCTGTCACCTGTCCAGGAATGGGCAACTGCAAGCCTTTCCTCGTTTGCACAAAGTGGAGCTTTGGGCTGAGAGCCGAGAGACGGAGGTAACCTTCGAGGAGCACTCTGCCTTCAGGGAAGGATACACAGATGGGCCCCTCGGTGTACTTACCCGCCCTTGTCTCACCTGCGTGTAAGTCACTCTTGGTAACACCTACACATGGGGAAAGAAGAGAACAGCTGGGGACTTCGAGACTGGGGTGAAGAAAGGGACAACCAGCCCCAAGGCCTGAGCTGAGATGAAGACGCTGGAGACTGAGGGCAAGAGGAACCAATAAACATCCCACGAGGGCTGATCACCGAGGGTGCAGCGAAGCTATTCGTACCCCTCCCGTCCTCGGCCCTCCAGGATTCCTACCTGTGGAGGCAGAGGCCACAGGCCCTTGGGACAACGGGTTCCTGCCTCCTCCGCAGTCTCAGCCACCACCACCTGTGGGTCCAAGGCGCAGAGCTGGGCGTTGGCCTCTGCTAGGGCCCCGCCCTTTTGGTTCCAGGACTGGGGGCGCAGACCAAGGGAGGAGCCTCCGAATCCCCTCGCGCGCGCCACTCCTTCCAGGACAAAGTTATAGCAAAGCGCTTTGAGATCCCTCGGCCAAGGCCTTACCAAGAGTCGGTCGCCTTACCTCGCAAAGACTCAGGAGCCCCACCAGGGCTACCAGAAGCAACCGGGGCGGAGGTGGAAGAGGAGGAACCATTTCAGCAGGGTCAGCAGTCCCGCCAACCAACAGCCGTGTCGCTCGCGCGGTCCCGCGGTCCCGAGCCGCTCGCGCGTCCACGCAAACCCCGGCTCGCTCACAGTCCTGCCCCCTCCTGGCCGGCCCGCGGGCCCCGCCCCGCCCACCGCCAGGCACGCCCCCGTCCCGCCCACCTCCTGGCCGGCGCACGCGTCCTGGGCCCAAAGCCGGAAAAGTTGTGAGCCCCTAAGGATCACTCAGTCTCCACGCCGGCTGGACCACCTCCCTCGCCCGAGGTGCGTCTCGGCGCGTTTGCCCGGCCTGCAGAGCGCAACTGCATCGCCTGGGCGGATCTGGGAACCCGGCAAAGGGAGGGAAATTAGATCCCTAAGGACTGGGTGACCCAGGCGGAGATGTGTGTGCTCTTCTGGCAAACCCGCTAAGCACTCGGTGTGCCTTCAAGGGCCAGAATTACGAAATCCTAGCTGTCCCGAGAGAGTGTCGACTTGGAGCGCTTCGCCTTCACGCTGCCCCATTCCTGCCCTTGCTAATATGAATCCTGAGCACCGAACTCTCACCGGGGGTCTTAGCCCTTCTTACCTCAGGCCCAGAAGTCCGGGAAGTCTTGTCTCCCGTGTCTGCTTTGTTCCCCACCTTCTCCCGGTTCCCGCCCTCGTTCTTTGCCCAAGGGTGACGTGCGAGACCCTGACTGGTTCGGATGAGTTCGAAGAGCTCCAGTGCTCAGCTGAGACTGCACTGGAGAGCTGCAATGAACGTAAGAAGCGGGGTAAGGATTGAGACGCCCAGTCCAAAAGTTTGAAACAGAGGCCTGCATGATGGCTCAGTGGGTGACGATGCTTGCCCCAGTCTGACAACCAGAGTTCAGTCCCTGGATCCACGTGGTGGAAGGAGAAACTCGATTCCAGCAAGTTGTCCTCTGACCTACACACACATCCACAACTAAACGTAATAAAAAAAATTGATTCGAAAAACAACAAAAACAGTTATTTCAGGCATCTCCCACGTACTCCGATTTACAAGGGGAGGATCCTTGGCAAGAATGACCAGATGTTGATCTGACCAAAAAGAACCACTATGCACTTCTGCCATGGCCCCATCGTGGAGCAAGGCACCCCCAATCCTCTCCCTTAGTTTATTCTGCCAAACTTGAGGCTGTTTCTTCTGCAACCCTTCCTAGTGAGAAGTGGTGCCAGCCCATGGAGAGTATCCTTGGCGGGTGGGCTGGGGAAGCCAGAAGTGACAGCGTGCCAGCGCCCTGCATGACCTCCAGAGAAGCGACAGCCTCCCCCTGAAACCCGTGGTCAGGGTCAAACGCTGCGGTCGGCCTCTAGCCAGGTGCAGACACCCCAACACCCAACCCTGTGGCGTTATCGCGCAGCTGTGGGTCCTGGCTAGGGCGATGTATGGCTCTGGCTGCAGATGCAACAGCGCGTGGAAAGTGAAGCCAGCGAGGGACCAGCGCTTTGCTCTTTTCTTGCTTTTTGCTACCCATCAATAGCGGATCCCGAGGACTCAGAGACCGAGGGTCTCCTCTGGCAGCCAGACTTCATAGGGGACCGGAGTAGGAGCAGGCACCTCGTGCTCACTCAGGCCGCCAAGCCTCAGTCTCCCCAAACCTTTACTGACTCGCCTCCTTATTCCCCTCGCTTCTGGTTCGGCCGCACGTCCCCGCTCCCCCTTTGTGGCCGGGATCTCTTTCACCCTCTGCTCCAGCTTGTCGCAATCGCTGTACAAAGGGCTGGGGGCGGGAGTGGGGGGCGGACAAGGGGAGCTCGACCCGAACTGGCTGTCTCCGCCCGGCCGCGACCAATCCGGAGAGCACGCGCCCTCCCGCTAGGGAGGACGCTGGGCAGCCGCGGGCCTCCGGGCGGAGCCGCGGGCAGAGCCGGGAGCCCGGCGAGAGGGACAGCTCCACTCCTCGCCGCCCAGTGCCGCCCGCCGGAGACTGTCCTGCCAAGCCATGCCTCCGTGGGCGGCCGTCCTCGCGCTGCTGCTGGCGGCGCTCGCTCTGCTCCTCCTGCGCCCCTGGAAGCGCGCCGTCGGAGCGCGGACCTCGGTCCGGGACCAGGAGGAGCAGGAGGTGGTGAGCAGAGGCCCCACGGCTCAGTTCAGCGACCGGCGCGAACCGCTCCCCGGGGGCTGCTGCCTGATTTGCAAGCCCTCGGCGCTGGCCCAGTGCCTACTGCGCGCTCTGCGACGCTCGGCGGCGCTGGAGCCCACCCCAAGCTCCTGGCTGTCGGGGCCCCACCTGCAGACCTTCTGCCACTTCATCCTGCCCGTCGGGCCAGGTCCTGAGCTAGCCCGTGAGTACCTGCAACTGGCAGATGATGGGTTGGTGGCCCTGGACTGGGTCATAGGACCTTGTGCCAGGGGCCGCAGGGTCACTAATACTGGAGGCCTCCCTCCTGTGCTGCTGGTAATCCCCAATGCGTGGGGACGCCTCACCCGCAATGTGCTGGGGCTCTGCCTACTCGCTCTGGAGCGCGGCTACTACCCGGTCATCTTCCATCGCCGCGGCCACCACGGCTGCCCGCTGGTCAGCCCCCGTCTACAGCCTTTCGGGGACCCGTCCGACCTCAAGGAGGCGGTGACTTACATTCGCTTCCGACACCCGGCGGCCCCCCTATTCGCGGTGAGCGAGGGCTCGGGGTCTGCGCTCTTGCTGTCCTACTTGGGGGAGTGCGGCTCCTCCAGCTATGTGACCGGCGCCGCCTGCATCTCGCCGGTGCTACGCTGTCGCGAGTGGTTCGAAGCTGGCTTGCCTTGGCCCTATGAGCGTGGGTTCCTGCTGCACCAGAAGATCACTCTCAGCAGGTGGGTACCGGAATAGAAGTCTACAGCTTCTGCCTGGTATGGAACCAACCACAGGTAGATTGGGGCAAAGTTACCACACGGTTTCCAAAGCTGTTCAAACCCCATAATGGAGACAGAACTAGGAAAGTGGGTTCCAAAGCCATAGACAGCTTCATGGCCGCAGTCGGCATCATTCTATCACAGCAAGGCTTCCTGCCAGGGCCCCATCAGTTCATCTCAGTCTCAGGTGTCCTAGCAACCGGTGGTCAGCAGAGGCCTGCACCTGACATTTACCACTTGGTGCTTAGCCAGGATAGGTCGGCAAACAGAGCTCTGGAAGCAATCGCAGCTGATTATCTGTCTGAATGTTTACTTCTGACTGAGCTGGGAGCGGGCAGGAATGAGAAAGGTGGCATTTGATTTATTAAGATTCTTTGAACTGACAGATGTTGTACATATTTCTAGGTGAGTGCACAACACTTAGCTGTTTGTCCTTTTTGAGACAAGGTCTCCTATAACTCAGGCTGTATAGCTGAGGTGCTGCTGAACTGCAGAGATTCCAGGCATCAGGCACCACACAGCTACCAAGACAGTGAGAAAAGGAAGAAAGGAAGGGAGGAAAAACACGATAGCAAAATACTGAACTTTTAAATCTCAAAGTAGAACAATTTTAACACCAGGCAAAACTGTTCCATAGAAAACACTTGAATGACATTTCCAGTCTTTCCTAAGAGATGGCGGAGTGAGTTCAGAGCTGTGCTGGCGGCAAACAGAGACACCCAGGACATGGGGGAAGGCCCAGCTGGGGTCAAATCCTGAGTTTACAGAATGTTAGCTAGCCCCTTTAAGACTCACTTCCCCTCCAGTTAAATGAAGTTAATAATAACCCCTCCGCAGGTGGCTGTGGTTATTAAATGAAAACACGAGAATCTGACAGACATCAAGTAGAGGCCAGTGGTGGCAATTAGGATTTTTTTTTTTTTTTTTTTTTTGCCACTTTACCTCCTGTTTTGAAAAGGTCAAACACTGAGGCTGAATGAGAAGCAAGAGGTGCTGCCATGGCAACTCAGGGGTTTGGTACAGGGTAAGCTCATCCAGCTTAATCACCATGGTTTCCACTCCCAGATGACCAGCACCAGTGTCTACCAAAGGCACCAGCCAGAAGTTGGGTAAAGGAAACAAAGAGGAAACCCGTGCCTTTGGGAACCACCCTTCCCATGGAAGTCTGGGGTTGCAAACTTGGGCACAGATATAAATTCAACTGGCGGAGGCTAAACTAATCTGCCTAAAGGATCAAGCAGAGCTGCCCATCCTGGCTTCCTTGTGACCCGTCCAGACCCTCTCCAGGGAGCTGAGACAGCGAAGTGGTCCCTCTTCCTAGTACAGCAGTTTGCAGGCCTCTGCTTGGGAAGGCATCTAGTAGATTAGAAATCCGTTGTTTTCTCTGCCACCGAGCACTTGCTAAGATCACTTACCCCCGGTGTACCTGACCAAGGTCATTACGCCAGGCATGCACGGTAACACAAAACCACAAAGGCACCAGGCAATAGTGGCCTTTAATCCCAGCACTCAGGAGGCAGAGGCAGGCGGATCTTTGTGAATTCAAGGCAAGCCTGGTCTACGAGCAAGTTTCAGGACAGCCAGGATTACAGAGAGAAACCCTATTGTGAAGAAAAATAAAAACCAAAACCAAAAACATCCACAAAGGCAGTGAATGGTCTAAGACGGGGATGGACTGCAGGAGAGGCATCGGCTCTGGTCTGGATGGTCCAAGACAGTGGGTTCTCTCAAGGTGCTTCCGTGGACACAAGTCATGAGTTCCTCGGAGAAAATCAAAAGTTGAAGTTACAGGGAGGGCCATCCTTATAGATTAACAGCTGCGAAGGCAAGTGCTACCTCTGGGACAAGTGACAATGCTGGTGGCAGGTGTGACCGAGAAGGAATAATCACCCTATGGAGAAGTCAAACATCTGGAGAGATGACTCAGTGGTTAAGCACCCTTGCTCTTACAGAGGACCCTGATCCAATTCCTGGCACCCACATAGCAGCTTAAACCATCTGTAACTCCAGTTCCAGGGGAGCCAACACCTTTGCATGGGCACATGGTATATATA